CCCCCTCCACGCCCTATTCACATAAAATACATTTTACCCCTTCCCTTCTTGCCACTGCTGCGGGCGTCCTCGGTCTAACCGCTGACTCACTCCCCCGTCTCCTTTGTATGACGTCTTCCCACCCACCTACCGCCCCGCACCACTGTGGGGGAATAATCAGCAGTAAGAGCAGTACAACGGCTGAGTGAAGAGTACCGCAAAACAGCCATTACACCAAGAACCACACAAAAAAACAAACAAGCAAACAAACGTATATACACATTCACACAGAAAACTCACCAAAAAGAAAGGAGAAACAATGACACGAAAAGAAAAACAAAACAAAACAAAACAAACCAAATGCCGGTGCACCAATGAAACAAATGCCTCCATGCACACACAGAATATGCGATGCAGCCTGTGAGGCAGTGGGGAGTGGGATGTGGATGTAATGGGGACCGGGGGCTCTGGGAAGAAGAGTTCAGGCCGCAACTCGACCAAACATCATAATGCGTGGCAAAAAAACAAAAACAAAGCCAACAACAACAACAACAACAACACACACACACACACGCACAGAGACGGAGTTACAGCACAGAGGAAAGGGTGATGACTGGTGAGAAAACATGAGTTGCGGGGACAACTGTATGTAATGCATTCGCAGTCTCACACGCACACAGGCTCATACACATGTTTATGTATAAATATGCCAGCATACATTATACATATATGTATATAACGATATAAATGGTCATACCCATATCACTCTTTCCCTGTTAGTCTGCACAACTGACACCTCTCTTCCTCTTATTCCTCCCGTCACTCTGTCGGTCTTTTTCCTACTCGCACATACACACAGGCACGCACACAAACACACACAGAACACTGCTAGTAATGTGTAACATCTACCTTTGTGGCACGGCAATCGAGCTCCTGTCACTACACTGGACAGTAGTTTCATGCGAATTGCCCTGTCGGCCCCTCCTCCCTGCTTCCTTCTCAACGTTCTCAGACACTACTCCTGCTTGAGGTTCGCGATGAAGGCCTTGAGAGAGGAGAGGGGGCATAAACGCCCATACAGCGGTGCTGTACCCGACACGTGCTCCCCCCGCTCCCTGCTATACACACACACACACANAAAAAAAAAAAAAAAACAACAACAGCGGGATATAACCTCTAAAATGCCACCTCGAGTCATTTTAAAACACTCAAAAACGCTGCTTTTCCCTTTTTACTTTGTATCTCCCTCCTTTCCTTCCCCCACCTTCCTGCTACTGACGATTTGCCTACCACGCGGGTTCTGGCGGCTTCCCCCAATCAATCTCCCTCTTTTGCGGTTGAACTTCACTGACCCCTACCGCGGTGGTTCTTCTTCTCGTTCGCCTCCGCCGCCTCCAGCATCCGCAGGTCAGGGCTCTGCACCCGCTGCGCATTGACTAGGGCGTTGCGGAACCAATCCGCCCCCATGCGCTCGCCCTTCTTTCCATAGAAGCTGCGCGGCGTGCGTGGGCGGCGCTTACGTACATTTTTCTCCACATCCAGCGGCATGCGCATCGGGTAGAATTGCTGCGGCGGGCGGTCGAGGAAGACAAGTTGGTCAAGCACACTGTGTTGCTGGCGATCTATCTCCTTTTGTTCGCCTGCGCTTTCCACAAAGACGTAATTGGGTTTGGGACGGTTCTTCTGGGCTGCGGCAGCGTGCTTTCGCAGAATCATCTGGTAGCGGTCAGAGAGCAGCAGCAGCGGCGTGGCCTCCCACGCCTTCCGCAGCGCCTGTCGCTTCTGTGGTGACCACGAGTTTTGTTCCTGCGGGGTCATCTCCACCGGTGCGCCAGTGGGGTTTCGTGTGGGTCCTTCCTCGCGCCGCATCCCACTGCCTTTCACATTGCTTCCCTTGAAAGTGGGTTGACTACTCACGGGCTCCGACCTAGCTATTGGGGTCCCCTCGCGCGGATCCATCACACANCCCCACAGGCTCGAGTTGAACTGCACCACGCTGGCGTCGGCTGTGCTCTTCTGTCGTCCCTGAGGTGTTTCATTATTAGCCCCACGCATATGTGGATTTCTGACACGCGTGACGTTTGTTGCTGTTTTTGTTACACTGATAGTTGTGTTTGCGCCAGTATTAGCAGGTACGCGGGGATTTTGTGGCAGAGTACCCAGCGGTTTGACTTGACCAGCTGTGTTATTTTTGGAGGTGTTGGCCACAATTGGCACTTCCACATCTTTTGGTTTATGCAGCTGGTCCAACCACCAACGCTCCTTCGCAGCAGTCTTGGTGCAACCGGGGTACTCGTCTACAGTTTTCTCGGCACGCGACACCGTCGGCATCACCTGGTTGACTGGCCTGGACGTACGCCTGACTGTTGGGACTATGGGATGCGTGGTGGAGGTCGCCGTGAACCATGGCAGCTCTTGCTTGGGAACCACCGGCACCACCGGCGCAGAGGCGTTGTGTGTGGTCGGAAACACTCCCCTTTCCTGGGACTGTGAAATCCGCCTCCTCGTTTCCTCATCGCTCTGGCGCCGGATTGGGGGGTGTGGCGGCATTGGCGTCTGCTGCTGTTGTCGCTGTTCCTGCTGCTTTGACCCCGACACGTCAGTGAGATTGCGCACCGTCACACGCCTGCCATTANCAACAGCATCTGGGCGGGAGGTCGGTGGCGCCACATTCGGGTGTGGCTGCCGTGGGGGCGGTAACGCACTGCCTGTCACCCTGGGGGTTGGTTTCACCTCAGGTGTTTTGACGTAACCGTTCATCCCCGCCGACGTATTCTCCACCTGCGTCCCTGTGGTGGAAAACCACCCACTGTACCCCATTTGCACGTCCCAACTGCTGCCATTGCCGCCGCTTGCTGACGGGATCGGCAACGCACTGACGGGCGCTTTTCCCACCGCCGCATTCGGGGAGGTGGTGGTGTTCCTCACCCCGATCTTTGGTGAGACCCGCCCTGTCACGGGACTGGAATTGTTTTCGTCGTGCGACTTCAGCACATTGACCAAAGCATCCACATCGCCGACGNCCCGCCCTGTCACGGGACTGGAATTGTTTTCGTCGTGCGACTTCAGCACATTGACCAAAGCATCCACATCGCCGACGAGGCCGTAACCATTTCCATAACCATAAGCAAACGGGTCCTCATCGGCGTATAGGTCCATTACGAGTGACGCCAGTTGCGCGGTAGTGCAGCCGCGCCTCCTCGGATATGTGTATGTATGTCTTTGTAGTGTTGCGCGCGCCGCCCTCGGTATCTTTGTTCGCTAAGCCTCTGCTCACAATATGTGGTGGCGTACGGCTATCGCACAAGACCCCAACTCTCTCCCTGCTGCTGTGAATGAATGCGTGTGGGGATTGTAGCGTGCCGGCTTCTGGCAAAACAAGCTGGTGCACAAAATAGATCGCTCGCACACACACACACACAC